CTCCCCGGGACGAGGCGGAGGGCGCACGGCTCCTGCCTCGGCAGGCGCGCCGAGCGCGGGGCTGGAACAGAGGTGTGGACGAAACTGTTCCCATTAGCTGCTTTTGCACGCACCATCGTCTGCTGACGATCTGTGATTATTTCGACTTAGGCATTTGGTAGAATTCTTCTTTAAAAGGAGTGAAGGGAGCCTGTCACTTCGAGGGAAACAGCAACCAGCAGCATTAACTGTCGGCAATGATAGAACTTGAGCCTTCTAGCGGAAATTAGAATTTTGCAAACTCGTGTCCACCACTGTGAGCTTGAAATCCCTAAAACTTAAAGAAGTTTCAGCTAAAGTTGGTGATATTAACAAATGGTTTTTAAGAATGCTGTATAATGAAATGAGTCCAATTTAGAAAAACTGCTTATCTCTGTGAATCAGTTTTTCCAGATGCTACAAGGCCGTGCAAGACAGGCCAGCCGGTGCTACGGAGCAGGGTTAGAAAGTTCATCGATCTGGTTTCAGGTTCTGCATCGCAGCTAAGCTTTAAGAAACTGCTACTTGCCAAGTTTTGATGTAGTGGCTGAAAAGGCAGTCAAAACACTCCCCGCTTTCCCAGCTCCTTATCTGTGTGAGGTTGGACCTATTTTATATACTTAAAGCGGAGCAACACAATACAATTGATAAAATGCAGGGCAATTCAGATATGAGACCCCAATTGTCTTCTGTCGAGCCAGATACTAAAGAGATTTGCAAAAATATAAAACAATGCCACCATTCTCACTAATTTGTTTTGGAAGATGTTACTTTTCATAAAATATTTTAATTATGCTAACATGTAATGGGTCTGTTATTATTTCTAAAAAGTAATGAATTAATGTTTTAAAACTTAGTTTTAAGTTTGAATACAGTAAAATTGATAGATATAAACCACCTTAAAACAGCAGCTCTTTGGGGTCAATTTTTAAGGGTGTAAAGAGGTCCTGAGACCAAAAAAAAAAAAAAGAGCGTGAGAAACACTGGTCTAGCATTCTGCCTAGACCAGGTCAAGTCCGGCCCCACGAACTTCAGGAAATGGACTTAACTTTTCTTTTAAAAACACTTTTACTGTGGTATGATCCTTGTTCAGTAAACTGCACATACTGAAATGCAGATGTACAATTTGCTGAATCTCGATGGATGTACACACCCATGAAACCACCACCACGATCAGGACAGCCACTGACATTTCCACCCCTCCCCAAGGGGTGCAGATTTCGAATTCCCAGTTTATCCCTCCCCACCCCCCCACCCCCAGAAACCATGTTTGTTCCCTATGTCTGCGAGTCTGTTTCTGTGTCACAGACAAGTCTATTTATGTGCTTTTTAAAAGATTCCACGTGTAAGCACTATCACATGGTACTTTTCTTTCTCTTTCGGACCTACGGCCGCAGCTCCTGGGGGGGCTCAGCTCGGGCCTGCGCTCCCGGGAAACCAGCGCTCGGCCCTGAGGCCCACTGGCTCCTGGCCTCGGTCCCGGGCTGTGCTCCGAGCTGGGGGCGGAAGCGCGCGTGCATCCGGGCGCCCCGTGGCTTCACAGCCACATGCCTGCACGGGCGCTGTCACGGGGCGTGCGGTCACGGTTAGTGCAGGCCCTGGGATCACTGGGCAAAGGTGGTGCAAAATCTTCCTGAGGCTGCAGGCCAGGCTGGGAAAACCTGTCCAGCCGTCTCTGGAGCTTCCTCGCCTGTCACACGGAGAGAGCAGCGCAGGGCTGCGACGGGTCACTGGGCTGCGAGGGGATGGCACACGAGAGCAGGGCACCCCGGTGACCCCTAATATGTGTGTAATTACTGAACATACCCAGTAACTCCAGGCTGTGGTGTTGGCGGGCCGGGAGGAAGCGAGTTCACAGAGACCCGCCGCCGCTGCTAAGAACAGCCGCAGAGGCCGCGCCGCGCGGTCCACGGGCTTTGCCCCTGTATGTGCGGAGGCCGCAGAGCTGGGCTCCCGTGAGTCCATGCTCCCCGGTCTTGGGGAAGGTCCGCTTGTGGGGATGTAAGTGCGAAGAGAATGAAGCCACAAACCTAGATTCTCCATTTAAAAGCTGACAAACGTATGTGGGACCCTCCTCCCAAACCAGCGCTGGCTCTGAACGACCTGCTTCTGTTTGAGGGATGCGGGGGTGGTCGGCCAGACTTCTTTTCTGAAACTGAAAAGTTGAGAAATGTATATAGTAAAAAAAAAAATGCTTAAGTTCAAAATGTATGAGAAACCTTCCCGGTTCGGCCCCTAGTCATCCCTCCCTGAAGTAACTACGGTGCCCACTTTTGTGTTTTCTTCCAGGAATAACCTGTGCACGAGAAATTTTATGCCAGATATTTACCTATTCTTGAATTATTTTTAATTTTCATTGTGGTAAGTCACACGTAAGGCAAAATCCGCCACCTCAGTCGTCGTTAACTGTGCAGGTTAGTAGTGCCAAGTTAGTGTCACTGTTGTGCACACAATGTCCAGAATTTTGTCAATGTGCAAAACTGGAACTGTCCCCATTAGACAGTAACGCCCTGTTTTCCTCCCCCCAGCCCCTGGCACCCACTGTTCTACTTTCTGTCTCTGAGTTTGGTGACCCCAAGGACCTCCTGTAAGTGGGCTCGCCCGGCATCTGTCTTTTTGTGACCGGCTTATTTCCCTGGGCCTGATGTCTTCCAGGTCCCCCCTACGTGGTGGTCCTGTGTGCCTTGCTTTTTAAGGCTGAGTAATATTCCACTGTGTGGATGGACCGCTTGTGTTCATCCATCGTCTGTGGACGGACGCTTGGGCTGTTTCCACCTTTGGGCTGTTGTGAACTGTGCT